GGACTGAAATTTCTTTGGAACTCTACAAGCAAATAAGACTGCAAGGGTTTCTTTGTATGACTAGTGTTAGGCTGAAAGATTCAAAGACAATCACAGACCTGATTAAATCCAACAGTGTGCCACACTTTCAGGGTCAACAGAAGGAACAATCAATCCCCTTTATGTAGTAAGAACAGCTGAGGGCTAAGGGGATGAATGCCCAAGGCACTAGGCCATGTGGAAGGTCAGAGCTAAGCTGTGTGCACTGAGGGGTTTCGCTGGTTGCAAATGTAGGGGCTAAGATATCACTTGTAGGCTGAGTGCGCTAGAGGCAGAAAAAGCCTGGAAAAGGATTTGCGAGTCTGACCCTGCCTGAGAGGAAGCAGAGTAACAGGGTTTCTTGGGTACAGAGCTCACTGGAGTGGCAGATTTGGGGATTTCTGAGCAATGAAACTGCTCGCTGCTGCTTGTTTCTACTGTGTTCAGGAAAACAAGACTATGTACATTCTTGTAAACAAACACACTTACAGCAAGAATATACCAATGTTGTATTGTTGATTTCTCATCCTAATGGAAGCTACCCTGTAAGGCCCTGGATTTTGGCTAACCGCTCAGGCAAAAGGAGGAACAGTATTTTCTTACTGGACTTTGAACCAGGAGCAGCAAGTGCATCCAAAACCAGGGCCAACCATAACAGTCTTCTGTGCATCCATTGAAGAGCCAGCATGCTCAGGGTTTAGCTGATTGCCATATTTGGTGTCGGGAAGGAATTTTCCTCCAAGGCAGATTGGCAAAGGCCCTGGAGGTTTTTCGCCTTCCTCTGCAGCGAGGGGCACGGATCACTTGCTGGAGGATTCTCTGCACCTTGAAGTCTTTAAACCATGATTTGAGGACTTCAGTAGCTCAGACATACATTAGGGGTTTATTACAGGAGTGGGTGGGTGAGATTCTGTGGCTTGCATTGTGCAGGTCAGACTAGACGATCATAATGGTCCCTTCTGACCTTAAAGTCTATGACTCTACGTAAGAGGGCATACTCCCTATCCATCCCTACCCTCTATTGGGTGAACTGCTCCTGAAAGAATCATCTGTAGCCTCAATCTGCTCCCACAAGCACAGGGGGTGTCATTCTAATTAGCTCTTAAATGGGCCATATCCTCCCCAAAACTGCATAGTTGAGTATGGGCCAGTCACTTCTAGTTCTACTATTATATGCCTTTGTAAGTCCCCCATCACCGTAGTATCTAGGTGTCACTGTTTGTTCTGTATCTGCCACCCTTATATGCATTGGGAAGTCTGTGTTCTAGCTGCTTGCCATCATTGAATGTACTTTTTATTTCCTGTATCTGAATGATTCTGGTATTTAGGTTTTCTGTACTTGTGGGGGCATTGTTCTTTATGTTCCCTGTATCCGAACATTTTCTGGAATGCGTGTTTGCATTCTTTGTATCCACATATCTACCTTAGCTTTATGACTGTATTTAGTGCTTCTGGATTACCCAAATAATTTCTAAGTTTCCTTTTCAAAACTCATACTTGGTTCCATACCTAAACCAATTATTTTCTGGTTGTTGCTTCAGTGGTCACCTGTGAAAAGTTAGCAATACTTAACATAGAGCAGTAAGCTGAGGAAAATCCCCTCCACCTGCCTCCCCACACAAACATTTTCCATATATGGAGAATATGAGATAAGCATGAGAACTGTTGACATGTTCTGACTTTTTAATGGCTTGCACTCTGCATAACCAAACACCACCAATGAAAAATAATAACCCAGGATCAACTTCTGCAGTCTTTACTGAAGCAAAGTTTATTTATTTACCTCTAAGCTACTGAAGTAAGAAAGAGTTTGCTTCAAGTAAGGACTAGAGAATTTGGCCCCTAGACAGCAATCCATTTTTCCACAGGGATAATTTGACCGCATAACATACTGTATATTACTTTAGGTATTTTAGTGTTCCACGTAGCAGTCATGAATTTTCACATGTCTCAGGGAGCCAAGCAGACCTCCATGACAGTGCTTTTTTATTCATTTTGTTTCCTCTTGTTACAATTATTTCTGTCTCTTGGGCCATCATTTTGCCAATTTCTCTGTCACTTTCACAGAAATACTATAAAATTTCAGTTCATCCGAAACCCTGCTGCCAAAATCATCTTCCTCGCCTTCATGACAGTTTTTAATCCCTAACTCGTACAAAGCTATTTGGTGGAACTTGTCAATAGAGAGAAGAACAAATTAGGTTTCACTGTCACCATTTATTCACTTAACACTTATTTTGAATGTTTAAATGTCTCAGGTTTACAGGTCAACTGCCCGGATCCCTCTTATAATAGTAAATTGTGAGTTTTTAAATGCAGCCACTTTATACGCTCTTCCCTCCATTGTTTTGAAGAAAGCAGATCCACAAGTAAAGGGAAAACATAAAAAGCTACACTGTTTTCATAGTGTCTAACACCAATATAGGGCTACATATAAATATTCAAATCTAGAAAATGAAAACTGAACCCACATTGAAACAAAACAACAAGAAGAGATATTACTATAAGAGCCAGAATTTAAGTAAATACAGGAATATCAAACTAAAAATGTATTAACTATTAATGATAACTATACCCATAATT